AGAGGGGGTATCATTCCCCCTGAGAGATGGTATTGGACTCCCCCAAAATGGCAGCGGCCCTTCCAACAACACGGTACCACCCCCTGCCCCCGAGATGGGCATCGTGCCCCCCGCAAGACAGGCATTGCCCCCCCCAAGACGTGGTGTCATTCCGCACCCCCCCAGAGACGGGCATCGTCCCCATCAGAGTCGGGGTACCGCACGCCCCCAGCGGCAGCTCCCTACCCCCCGGCTGGGCACTGCACCCCCCGACAGGCATCCTCACCCCCGGGCCGGGCATCCCCCTCCCAGGGTGGGTGCTGCACCCCCCAACACGGACTGTCACCCCCCTCGTTAGACATTGTACCCCCCAATAAAGACAGAGTACCCCCGAAATGGGGCATCACCTCCTCCAAGATGAGCACCCCCCCTCAGATGGGGGACTGCACCCCGAAAGAGGGACTCACACTCTGTCACCAGCCCCCCCCCGCTCAGACACTGCAAGGGGGGGCGGGTGCCCTCAGCACCCGCAGGGGATGTCCCCATGGGGTAACAGCACAGGGCCTGACACCCCCAGCCCCCCCTCCTTACCCCCCTAGCCAAACTGGGGGCACCATCGTACAGGGACCCCCACCACAGAAGCAGGACCCAGCTGTGAGGGTGCCAGGGGGTGTCACATCCTTGTATGTGTCCCCCCCCAATCCCCGCGTGTTCCTACCTGTGCCGGTGGCTCCTGGTGCCGGGGCCTCGAGTGCCGGGGACGGTTTCGGGTGGGTGCCGGGGAGGCGTTTGGGTGGGTGTCGGGCTGTGTCCCCGCCGAGCGCCCGGACAAGCGCCCTAATCCGGCACCGGCGCAGGGGGGTATTTTTAGCTGCTGCCGGAGCGGAGGGAATGCCACCCACCAGGGCCTGTGTCCCCCCCCGCTGCTGGTGTCCCCCACCCCATCCCACTGTCCCACGGAGAGGGAAAGGGGACAGCGAGGTGACGCCACCCATCAGGGCCACCTTTGTGCCAGGCTGGGGGGGCACAACAGCCATCGGGGAGGGGGGGGACAGTGGGGACCCCCACACCGAGCTCTGGGCTGTGGGCAAAAGGCATGTCCCCTCCCCAGCACTGTCCGTCCCCCTGCCCCGTGACACCGGGTGGGGGGGTTGGTATTTTAATTGGACCCCCTTCATTAGTGCCAAGTTCATTAGAGGCTCAGTAGGGGCTTTGTGTCCACAGGGACAGCGGGGACAGACTGTCCCCATGCCACTGCGGCTGGCAGGGATGGCAGGGGAGAGCTTGTGGGGGGGACAGACACCAGGTGGGATATGAGGACGCCAGTAAAGGGACATAAAGACCCCAGTGACCTTGTGGGGTGCAGGGATTTAGAGGACCTTAAACCCAAATACCAGGGACCCCCAGCACCTTTGGGGGAACCTGACACCCCAACCCAGTGCTGCCAATGGGTCCCCCCTGTGCTGCCACCCCTGCACCCAAAATCAGCCCCAGCAGGAAAGGGTGGGGGCACCCACCTGCCCCTCTGGATGTGGAGGGACCCTGTGGTCCTGCTGGCCTGGGGGATGGGTGCTGGGCTGGGGAGGGGGGTGCTGAGCCCGGGGGGGGAGGAGGAAGGCTGAGCGCACGATCCCATTAAAGAGCTTAGGCAGCAGGAGGGTGAGGGGCAGCACCCAGCAGGGCAGAATTAGGGGGGCTTATTACCCACCCAGGGTAATTAGCTCCCTTTCCCCCACAGGAGGAATCCCCTGGCACCGTTGTCGCTCTGCCACCACCCCCACCGCACCTGGGGACCCCGTGGCTCCCAGGTTGGGGGGGACACACACGAGCAGTGGGCTGACCCCATCCCCAATGCCAACCCAGCACCTTTGGGGGGACACAGCCCACAGACATGGGTGTGCCCCAAACCCATGTACCCCCTGAGCCATACTGGGGGACATGGGGTGTCCCTGTCCCCCATGGGCAGGGGGTGTCACGCCACCTGCCCCCTTACATAAAGCCCTGTGCCCACCTCCCTGAGATGCTCTGTCTTTTTTTTTTTCCTGAGCCCTAATCTTTGCCATCTTGGGCTAATTGGATTTCCTAGGTCACATGGCGAGATAAAAAGTCCCCAAATCCCACGGTCCAAAAAAATCAGGTTATCCATGGGGAATTAAGGGAGAGAGCGGGGGGCAGCCAGCCCGCGAGGACCCACCAAGCTCTGCCTGCTGCAGGGCACCCTGACATCGGGGCAGCGGGTACCCGGCTTGGCCTTTCGGGGCTCCTCTTTCTCCCTCCATCGCCCACCGCCCGCCCCTGGGGTGCGCGCGCCGTTCCCCGCGGAGAGCTGGAAGAGCCTGGGGACCTAGAGGAGCTCGAGGCATTAGAGGAGGAAGACGAGGCCATGGGGAGCGGGGCCAGCGCGGAGGACAAGGAGATGGCCAAGAGGTCCAAGGAGCTGGAGAAGAAGCTGCAGGAGGATGCGGATAAGGAGGCCAAGACAGTCAAGTTGCTCTTGCTTGGTAAGGGTGGAGGGGATGTCCCCGGGAGGATGTGGGAGATGTCCCCCTGTCCCCATCTGGCATGGGGGACCCTGTTGATGCTGGGGGGATGTGGCTGCGGGGGACGGGCAGGGGGCAAAAGCAACCAGGGACAGGCAACCCCCAGTCCCATCAACTCGTGCTCTGCCTTTCTTCATCCCAAGGAGAGCCCCTTCCTTGCAGCTTGTTAACCCTCGTTAGCCTGATGAGTTGCCATTAGCGAGCAGAGGTTGTCCCACCAGCTGGATGCCCCCCAGGGTTGTGCCTGGGAAGAGCGGGAGGTGGCATCGGCTCTTGGTTGGCAACTAGATGGGTGGCAGGGACAAAGGGAACAGCGTGGGGACAGAGAAGGGATCAGGATACTGGTTCCCACCTGGGCCAGGCTGCAGCACATCCCAGGGGGGTCAGCAAGACCCTGGGGAGCTTCTGCCACCAGCACCCCCAAACCCTGCTGCTGGGTGCAGGGTGGGAGGGGACAGTCCCTCAGGGGACTCTCCGCACCCCCTTGGGCAGTGGGGTGACCCCACAGGGAGGCATTGGGGCCCCGCGGGGCAGGGACCAGTGGCACGGGCTTATCCAGGTGGGGGGGCCGGGGTCAAGGCGATTAGCACCCTAATTCTAAGCAGCTTCCTGTGCTGTCCTAAGCTGCTTACAGCACTGAAGCCATCGCCGGCGGTGCCCGCAGTGGGCGGGAGGTGTGGGACCCTGGGGACCGGCAGTCCAAGGGGTCCCCACCACCCCTGAGGGTCCCTGAAGTGTGGTCTGGCTCTGGATGCAAGGGGTGACGGGAGGTGGCATGGGGACGATGGCACCGGTGGGAGGATGCCAGGCTGGGTGCCCAGCCAGGAGAGATGCAGTGCCCATCACTATGGCATCAGGCCTGCGGTCTGTCCCACCCTGGCCAGCACTAAGGTGTCCTCCCACCCTTTTCCAGGGGCTGGAGAGTCGGGCAAGAGCACCATCGTGAAGCAGATGAAGTGAGTATGGCCCGAGGCACCCAGATTGGGGGGGTCACGAGGATGAGCCCAACCCTTGGACAGCCCCAGCTGGGGCAGGGGGGTGGCAGGACCCCTCCGTGTCATGCTGGTGGTGGCACCCTGCTGATTACCAGGGTGGGGTGATGCTGGGAGGGAGGAAGGGGCACCCCAGAGTGCCAGAGCTTGGGGCTGAGGCCGCTGTGCCTCCCCACCCCCCGCCAGGATCATCCACCAGGATGGCTACACGCCTGAGGAGTGTATGGAGTTCAAGGCCATCATCTACGGCAACATCCTGCAGTCCATCCTGGCCATCATCCGCGCCATGTCCACGCTGGGCATCGACTACGCCGAGTCATCCTGCGCGGTCAGTCGGGGCGGTCGTCCCCGTGCCCCCCAAACCCACCACGCCGGCTGAGGGGATGTGGGGCCAGGCAGCCCCCGGAGCCGGGGTCTGTAGGAGCTCTGTGCTGCTCCTCCCAGCCCGGCCCAGCCCCGGGGGCTTTTTGGGGGACAGGGGCCACGGGTGGGATGGTGGCGAAGGGTCCATCTTGCAGGATGAGGGCCGACAGCTCTTCAACCTGGCTGACTCCATCGAGGAGGGCACCATGCCCCCCGAGCTGGTCAACTGCATCCAGAAACTGTGGAAGGACGGGGGGGTGCAGGCTTGCTTCGAACGAGCTGCCGAGTACCAGCTCAATGACTCCGCTGCATAGTGAGTGGGGCCACCAGCTGGGGGGGGGACACACGACAGGGACGTGCCTGGGGACCCTCGTGGCTGCTCATTGCCATTTCCAACCCAGCCTGGCAAAATCAATTCCCAATTCCCTGATCAAACCCAATTCCCTGATCCTGGGAATATCCTGGGGCCACTGTCCTCCATCCCACTGGTGCCAGTGGGTTGCAGCCCCCTGCCATGCCCCCCACAATGTCCCTGCAGCCCCCCAGCTCTACCCCAGGGATGGTGCTGCCTTGGAGTCCCAGCACTTGGCAGAGCTCAGCCCCCCAACCCTACCCAAAAATCCATGGGGGGGGGCGGGACATGGGCAGCCCCTTGGCAGGAGGTGACATCCCCTCCTGTCCCTGTCCCCCCCCAGTTACCTGAACCAGCTGGACAGGATCACGGCCCCCGGCTACCTCCCCAACGAGCAGGATGTGCTGCGATCCCGAGTGAAGACCACAGGCATCATCGAGACCAAGTTCTCTGTCAAAGATCTGAATTTCAGGTGGGTGGGTGGCCCCCCCTCAATGATCCCCCCCAGGCCCAATGGTGGGGAGGGGGGGTTTGGGGTGAACCTGATGCTCCAGGTCCCACCAACCCTGCCTGGACCAGGGATGGCCGGTCACTGCATCCCTGACACCACTGAGGACAGGGTGCTGGGACCATCATGCAGGGGGGTGGCAGGACCAGATGTGTCACCCCCCCGCCCGTCCTTGTCCCCTCCCTAGGATGTTCGACGTGGGAGGGCAGAGATCAGAGCGCAAGAAGTGGATCCACTGCTTCGAGGGGGTGACCTGCATCATCTTCTGCGGGGCGCTGAGCGCCTATGACATGGTGCTGGTGGAGGACGACGAAGTGGTGGGTCGGGGTCCCAGAGGTGCCCAGCCATAGCTCGGCAGCTGAGGGGGAGAGGAGCTGGGTGCTTTGAGGGGGTTACAGAGGGAGGGAGGCCAACACACTATGCCATCTGATGCTCTAGATGATCTGGGAAAGGGGTAGGAGATGCAGGATGGAGCTGGCTTCCACACAGTAAACATGTCAGCACTTACTCTGGGGCACAAGCAGCCCAACCAAGCCAAAACGCAGGTCACGGGGCCGTGGGTCTGCCCTCCCTGCTGCCCACATGGAAACCCCCGGTCCTTCCGAGCAGCCGAGGGCAAAGCAGCTCCTGACACCGACCTCTTCTCGAGAGCCACCGTCCCACGGGGGAGCTCTCCAGCTGCAGCAAATCCACCCAAGCAAACCCAAAGGAGCCAGCCCCAGCACAGGAGGGGAGGAAGAGACAGGAACTGGTCTCAGTGAAGGAAAATTTGGCCTAGAGGAACCTCTTGCCTTGCTGTGCCCTTCAAGATGGGCAGAAAAGCAGCAATAAGGGGCAGCTTTCACCCTCCTGGCAAGCGGCAGCAGGGGGAAGGACAGCACGGTCATCAAGCAAAGCTCTCCGCATGCCCAGCTCCGGCAGAGCCGCTGCCCCAGCACTAGGTGAAAGCAGCTTCGAGGGCAGAGGTCCGGAGAGGAGGAACAGGACAGCCCCAAGATGGGTCATTTTGCAGAAGAAATAAAGGGCGAAGACGAGCAGAGCAGAATCAGGCTGCCTTCTCCCCTGCCTAGGGGACTGGGGCAAAGCATCCTTGCTGGCATCTCCTACAGCAGCTGGTCCCACAGACGCTCGCTGGTGCTCTGGGGTCCAAACGCCATTGCCAGGAGCTGGGCCAGGGTCAGTTTCTGCCACCCCTGGGGCTTGTCAAGGCCAGGCAGGAGCACACAGCCCTTCCTCAGCCATGAAGCAGTGTAAGGCACATGGGAGAAGGAGAGAGCATCTTTCCCATTGAAGCCCTCAGGAGAGGCTGTAGTTTCCCCCACACGGTATGGGGCAGGATTTTGGCCAAAGTCAGCCCTGCAGGTGCCCTGCTTGCTGAAGCTGTACAGAAAAGCTGCTGTGATGGGAAGCTGGACAAGGGAAAAACATCCCTGTCACCCCTAAAGAACCTGCCTGCTGCCATACGAAGGTGGAGGAGATCCACCTTCCATCAGCAGAGCAGCAAAAGTCCCTGGTCGGAGTTAGCTCCAGCTGGATGAAGACTCTTCCTCCTGAGAATGCCCCTACAGCAAACTAGAAACTGCACATCTGGTGTGAAAACCAGAGATTTTCCTTTTCCCCACTCTTTTCCAAAGCTGTGGGCAACACCCAGGGCCACAGTCCAGCAAGAGCATCCCGCGGCACGGCCTGGATGATGACAGCTTGACGCCCTCGCCGAGCACCTTCCAGCAGCTGTGCCGCAGGGCTGCGAGGTTTCCCCGGATAATTTTCCCACCATAAGCCTTCATTTCTGAACATCCCAGAAGCTGCCAAGAGGGATCGGAGCATCGGACTGCCTGGAGCTGCTTCACACCGCTTCCTATCCTGAGCACCGACTGGATTTATCCAGGTCGCTCGCACTGCGGCACGGGGCCTTTTCGGATGGGCAAGAGCATCTCTTGGTGCAGGCAGGGGACGGGCAGCAGGGCCATTTGCTGCTGTGGCAAACAGGAGCAGCCCTGGCAGCATGGGGAAAAGCTCTCATCGTGGGAACGGGGGGTTTGAGGGGGCTGCAATGGCCAAAAGGGGTTTGTAAATTATTTAAACACCCAGCACTTCATGCCAATGAGCCTGTTTGCTTGCAGAACCGCATGCATGAATCCCTGCACCTATTCAACAGTATATGCAACCACAAGTTCTTTGCCGCCACATCCATCATCCTCTTCCTCAACAAGAAGGACCTTTTTGAGGAAAAGATCAAGAAAGTCCATCTCAGCATTTGCTTCCCAGATTACGATGGTGAGTCGGTTTGCTCTCCCTCCTCGAAACCCCCCAAACCAATCTCCGGTGGGGAGCCACATGGTCCCAACACAGCACCTTGAGTTTGGGTTATGCTGGGATCAAGTCAAGTACCTGGAGGTAGGAGCAGAGGAGAGGACAGATGTGGCCTTGGGAAGGCGTTTGGAAGGATTGAAATGGGATAAAATGTCTTTTTTTTTTTAAATTGCTTTGCTAGGTGCAGTTGCCACCCAGCCCTCCTTCTCCTCCTCCAGAGGGAGATTTCAAATCTAGCTCTTAAAAACAAGCCTTAAGCAGCCCCTGGTCTTTGCCCAGCTCTGATGATCATCTCCCATGGGGAACAACTCAACAGCAGCATCATCTCCTCCCTCCGCAGGTCCCAACACGTTTGAAGATGCGGGAAATTACATCAAGACCCAGTTCCTTGATCTCAACATGCGAAAGGACGTGAAGGAGATCTACAGCCACATGACCTGTGCCACAGACACGCAGAACGTCAAATTCGTCTTTGACGCCGTCACGGATGTCATCATCAAAGAGAACCTCAAGGACTGCGGCCTCTTCTGAGCATCTGGGTGGCAGGTACCCAAGAAACGGTTATTTAACCACAAAAAAAAGGGCTGGGGAAGGGGAGGGCGATGAGGATGCAGCAGAGCCCGCTGCATCCTGCTCTGCAGGGTGATGGGACGTGGCTCCCCCCAGGCTTTGCCATCAAACACAGCCTGGAAATCCCTGCCTGCAGAGCAGGGGAGGGGAGGATGTGCTGGGACTAGCGAGGACAGGGGCGGTTTGGGGGTCCCACCAGCACCCCCCGTGCAAAGTTCCGCTGGGGTTCAGTTTCCTTCCCCAGCAGCCTCCCAAAACAGCATAGGCTCAGCCCAGTTATTTTGAACTCGTTTTGTCAGACTGCTTCACACCCTTGCACACGGAGAGAGATGAAAACAGCAGATGATAGCTCAAATTATGTACCTGAGCAAGATCAACCATTTAATCTCAGAGCCTCCTGTTGCCACAATACAGTCACCGGTGTCATGCCGGTTTGCAGCACAGTCAGGGAGGCTGTTATGCAGCCTTGGCTGGTGGGAACAACCTGAGCAATACCCAAGTGGAGCAGGGAGAAGGCATGGGAATCCCATGCCACACTCTGCTTCATCTGGCTTTTTAGCTCATCACCATAAAGGTTTAATTAGGGTTTATAACCTAATTTAATTAGGGTTTTTTGCCCACTAGCCTGAGCAGCAGTGGGAATTTTTTCCCCTCTCCCCACTTTCCGAGCAGCTCCCAGCCACTGGCTTCACCGCTTTGTTTTTCAGGGAACATCCGGCGCTTCCCTTGTCCCTGAACATTAATAGAGAAGCACAAAAAAAAAAAAAAATAAAGCAGGCAGGCAGGCAGCTTCCCCGCAGGCAGAGGCAGGCTGCGGCAGGACGGCGGGTGCAGCCTTGGCCGCCAGCTCTGCATTGTGCTGTGAACAAAGCTGCTTTCTAAGCAGAGCACTCAGCAGCCTTCGACTGAGAACATCAAGCATCAAGGAAAATATAAATACTGTGCCAAGGCAGCAGGCAGGGAGGCCCTGCCTTCTCCCGAGGCTGCAGGCAGCAGCAAAAGCTGCTGGGGTTGATCAGCAAGGGAATACTAGGTGTAGCGCTCCAGGCTTTTTGCCGCTGCCTGGGTCAGAGCATTTAACCCGCTGAATTTTTTCCATCAATGAGCATGGTGCAATGAAAAGTTGCTTCTCTAAACCCACCCTTCCTGCGCGTTGCACCATTACAACCTTAACTGCATTGTTTGAAAGCGTTTAACCCCCTCTTCTTTCTTCCTTCCTGCTAGAAGAGGAAAGGACTTCAATTTCACATCGCCGTTCTGCTGAGCAGAGCCAAAAGAATTAACCAAAAAAGTTACTTGGACCCCACTTTTTCTACAACCTGCCCAACCGAGCCACCTACTTTCAAGCCCAAAATAGGAAGGGGCTGAAGCTGAACTTCCTGCTCCCTTTCGTGGCCATTTCCTCTTTTTTTTTTTTTTTTTTAAAGTAAGAAAACCTTGCTCTCTGCCGCACGTGAAAGGCAGCATTTATAAATGAGATCTGGAGTGGTTTGACATCAAAGAGCACATGCTCCCCGGTACGCCAGCCAGAAAAATTAATATTAAGCCATCGTACTTCCACGCTGCTGCAGCCTGGCAGTACAGCGTGCTCAGGGAAAGCCAGCAGCATCACTTCTGCAGGAGGCAGGGACAGGGCACTCCTCCCCTGCCCATCCCTCTGCAGCTGGTTTTCTTCCCTTTTATCAAAGCTGAATTAATCAAACCAGAAGTTTCTGGGGAAGGTGGAGGCTGGGTTACCTATGAGTCACTCCTCAGAACCAACCTCAGTCCTTTGGCAGGAGAAAGCAGGGGATTTTTTTTGTGCCCTAAGACTTGAGTGAATTTCTCTCCAGAGCACTGGTCAGGTTGTAGCTGATGGTGAGCAAGCAAAGGCAGGAGCAGGCAGGAGCACATGCATTAGGGTCTGGGGGAGGCAATCATGCCTACAGCAGAGGATTGGGCAAGATAAAGAGGAAATGGTTACTTGAAAGATTTTCATTCTGCTATTTAGAGCTGTATTTGCTCTTTACTGTTTGTAAATAAATCTATGCTGGTACTGTAGCCAAGTCCTGTATCCTCTCACTGTTTACTGCAGAGATCACATATACAGCTTCATTTAACTGTAGGAAAAACAAAATAAAGAAATACGCATGACATGGATGTCTGTCATTTCTCCCACTTTGATTTCTCTGTGACGACTGTTCCCAAGCCCTGTGCCGGAGCACTTGGATCAATATTTTACATTCTTTGCATTCATTCCACACTCAAGTGCGCACATGGATCCCCTACCAAGACCAACCCATGGCCCATGTGCAGCTGACTGGGGCCACCAGCATCCTCCCAGGCACCTGGTGGGGATGGAGGCAGAGGTGCCAGGTGCCACCAGGCTACCACCAACTGAAAAACCTTCCCAACCAAAGCACCCTCCCCACCTGGGCAAGATAAAGCTCCTGCTTGGAGCCTTGCAGGGCTGAGCCTCTATTGCAGCTCTGGCATCAGTCAGGAAGCACCATGCTGTTGCAATCCAATTACTGGGGAGGTTTACATGAATTTGTTTAAAAAGCGAGTTATCCCATGTGCTAGCATGAAGTCGTAGCAATGCCTCAAGGCTGGCTAGAAGGGAATTGTCAGGCAGTCAGTAGAGTTCAAGGCAGCTCAGGAAAAGTTTCCAAAACAGAAATATACTCTTTGTAGCTGCTGAGCAGTGCTGCATGTCAGACACCCAGCGGACACTGCAGGGTAGCCATTTACAGCACCCACAAGCATCCCTAAAGTTTTTCATTCTGTATTTCTAGACAAGTGTCTTCAAAATGAGTTACATCTACATCATGTAACAACATCCAGAGTAGTCATTTTCCCATCAGGTTCAAAAGAGGCAGTGAGACTTGTGCTATAAATAAGCAGCAAACTAACCATCTGCCAATAATCCTGATGAGCGACTGGATGCCTGCCGTTCTCTATCTGTGCCAGCACAACCCAAGTCTTTGGGAGCAGCAGAACTGGCTGCACAGAGAGCACCGACAGTCATGTACGATAAAGCACGAGGAACTTTCCTGTCCCATTAATTACACCCATTTCCCATCAAAGTGCTTACCTTCCTTCTCCAGCAAAGCACAAAAGAGGCGAACGCTCCTGGAAAAGTTAAGAATAAACTAGAGAAAAGGCTAAACTGTTTACTCACCATTTTAATACTGCCAACAACTATAACAGATTGAAACTGTACACATGACAAATTGGGAAAAAGTCTCAATGCAATGGTTCAGCAAAGGAATGTACTGACTGATTATGAACATTACTACAGTAAAAACAATGGCAAACCGGAATTTGGCACCACATATACAAAGTAAAGGCATGCTTGTCAATACAGCTTAGGAGTCTCTGAACAGAAAAGGCCATGGTAAATGCAGAACAAGGTGCACCCTTTACAAAATTGCCCACCGGTTTAGACCAAAAATGCACAAGAATCTAAGTGGTTGATTTAGTAGCTCTGTAGCAGCACACGTTTCCCGTCCAGTTTGGAGCTCAGAATTTCAGCTCTCCAACCAATGCAGCCCAGGTACACATTCACCGCGAAGCTGGCTTTATGCTTACCACACAGAATGAATCTCGATTTGGCTATCAGCATAAACCAGGTTCACCCCTAACCATAAGCTAAAAAGACTCGCTTATCCTGCTGCAGAAGCTTCTTTCAAAAGCCTTATGGTAGCAGGATGGTAACAAATTACACATCAGAAAAAGCCGAAGCTATCGCCATAAGAGCTCTAAGGATCCTTTAAGTAGTTGCAGAAATATTAAATCCTGACCATACCCAAGTGTTAAAAACAAAGAGTTCCTGCTAAGAGGAATACTTTCTGCATGATCTGGTCACATGTGCATAGTTAAGTGATTTTTTTGTTGTTGTTTTTTTTATTTTTAAAACAAGATTTGTTTGCAAATAAAGAAATAAAATTTAGTAAAGTTATAGTTTTCTTGATGGAAAAAACTTTAAAAACAGACTAGTGGTGGCTTGTTAACCAAAGAAAGAGAGAAAGCTACATATCGAAGGTCTGGAATCCAGCACCTCAACTTCACAACAGCTGTACACATTTGAGATTACGCCATCCAAACGATGCCAGGATGATCTAGTCACACTAACAGTTGTTCCATCTTGACCTAACTTCAACATCCCGTATCAATAAAAAGGTCCCTAATACAGAAGATTGTGCTAAAGAATGCAACGATTCTGCATGCTGTTTTCATTTCCCTGGTCCTGTTCATGCTTGCAGCTGTCCCCATGAGGCAGCAAAGAGTCTGGTTCTCAAAACACCACACCATAAAAACTGAAAAGAAAACAGCAAGCATTAGTGAGGTGCAAGGCAAAGCCAGCCCAAGCTGGTGCGCAACGCTTAAAACACTATGAGTGGCTGAGCAGCTCAGCTTTACCTTTTTCCCACGCCCCTTCCTTCTCAATAGAGTCCACATTCCTTCAGGTTGTTTTTAATGATAACATCCGTAACAGCATCAAACACAAACTGCACATTCTTGGTGTCAGTGGCACAGGTGAAGTGTGTGTAGATCTCCTTGGTGTCTTTTCTCCGGTTCAGATCTTCAAACTGACACTGGATGTACGCAGCTGCTTCCTCGTATGTGTTGGAGCCTGAAAAAGATAAGATCCCTTACTTTGGCCAGCAGTTCACAGCAGAGAGATCTTTTAAGTACATATTAAGCTGCTTGCAACCATCTGTCTTATCCAGCTACAAATCCAAATCCACCATTAACCCCTTCTTGTAAATCTGAAGTCTATTCCCAGCTGCTGGTCAGTGACCTTGGACAAGTCACTCCTGCAACTCACCAAATGCTCCCTGCTCCAGCCTCCCTGCCCAGAGATACCAGAGAGGAACACTGTACAGTGACTACAGTAATACTTCATGCTAGAAACATGTAGTTATAGCAGAAGAGTGACAAATGACAGGAATAAGCAGGTTTGAAGGAAGGACCATTTA